GCTTGCCGTATATAATCTAATTTGAACAATTTAATGCATTCTTGACTCCGCTTCGGTTATAATAGTGGAAAAGAACTAAAACGATTGAAAACAAGAAGAAAGTTACCTTCGTCAACCTATGACGATTTTTCTATAAATTTTCCATACTTTCGACTATTACTCATATGACAGCTATATGGTATATACTATATAGTTGTCCGATTTTGATAAAATTTAATTTGTAATTGAAGAGTCGTTAGAAAACGCTATATTCTTAAAATTATGTTTGTCTGATGAAAAACAACAGCGTGAGAATTTTTTATTTGTGTCCTTCACTGCGATGCAAACTTCTGACTGAAATTATAATACCCTTTGATCTGCAAGGGTGGGGTGAACAAATAAATGGAGGCTAATGTTATCTTTTTGAAGAAAAATGAAAACTGTATTGAAACAAAAATGTTATCCACGTCTAAGCAAATGCTTCCCATACCGGGAATTGAACCCGGGCCTTCCGGGTGAGAGCCGGATATCCTAACCACTAGACAATATGGGATATAACATACGAGGGTGAAAAATACTGATTATACTAATTACGAATATCGTAATTATCATAAAATGCTTAATTTTCAAATTTATTTCCTTGGTCAATCTCCTAAAATTAGTTGCTTAACAAAATTCAAAATAATAGTATTTTTATGCTACTTTCCCATACCGGGAATTGAACCCGGGCCTTCCGGGTGAGAGCCGGATATCCTAACCACTAGACAATATGGGAGACGATTATGCGGACGCCAAATTCCATAGTTGGTGCCTGTGTATTCTTCAAACCCGACTTCAAATTGTTGAGTTGTATAAGAAAAACGTGCGATCTTATTGTTATAATCTGTCGCAATATGAACTATGTATAACGTATTTACAAGGTTTTCTAACAATAAGTTAACATGATTCATTAGTAGTAAATAACAATGTGGTTAAAGTGCAAATTTAAAAAAAATAATTCTTCACATTCTATAATTTAGAATTAGAAAACAGTAGTTAAAACCATATTGACATTTTTACAAAAACACAATAATTGATCAATACTAACATTAAATATTTCCTGCAAAAGAATTCACAAACATACATATGTGTATTAATTATTTTTATGTAAGTCTCATTGTTTGCTTTTCTGGCACTTTACGTCAGTCGGAATTTTGCCAACGCGGCATTCACCTCCCATATTGTCTAGTGGTTAGGATATCCGGCTCTCACCCGGAAGGCCCGGGTTCAATTCCCGGTATGGGAATCTCGGTATCATCGAGAATTTTTTTTCATTACTGTGTGTGTTATTTGATACTAATAGATTCATTTAATTTGTAAATAATTTTTTGGGTATCAGAAATTTGAATTTAATCTTAATAATTTTTACTCGATCTAATTTTTGTTTATACATATATTATTATACATGAGTTTTCTTTTACACTCTATCAGTGCTCTCGTCACTAAGTGATAATATATGCGAACAAGACAATGGTATTTGTTTTTCCATATTCAGAAATTTGTGTTTGACTTGACTGACCGCATATCCCATATTGTCTAGTGGTTAGGATATCCGGCTCTCACCCGGAAGGCCCGGGTTCAATTCCCGGTATGGGAAACACTGTAATGTTATTTTTTTCTTTGTAAGTTTTAAGAATTTTGTCTTTTAACAGGCAAAAATAATCAAAATATTTGTTATCAAACTTAATAAAAACCAGCAGCAAAAAGTTATTGACGGTGCCAAACAACACGCGGTGTTCCCAAGCGGTCCCCCATCTTTTTTTAAATGTAAAAATGGATTTGGTTACGGTTCTTTCCGTACGGTTGCTTCAATTAAGTCGAAGCAAAAGTTGTGCTCGTAAAAATTCCGATGTCAATGCAAACTTCATAAATCAGTCGAGTAGCTTCGCTTCCATTGAAATTCTCGGAATAAGGCGTCGAACTATTCACGACTCCCCAACTCTGCCAGCGGCTAAATATTTTACTAACTTACGTGTCTATTTTCAAAGGGGTAGCTGCAGATCCCCAACCCCCTTGGTTCGGTGCCCTCTAACCCCGAAGATGTCGTTCAGGATGGGCGTGGTGGGGGCGGGTCAGTTGACGCTGTTGTGTTCATAAGTTGTTGCCATTGTTGTTGCCGCTGCTGCATTTGTTTTGGCATGTTTATTGCACTGTCAACGGCAATGCATGAAAAGTTTTAGTTAGCCAAGTTAAGTTGTTGCTGGTGACAAACCCTCTGCGTGCAGGACCCGTATTTGCTCCCCGGGAGTTATCCGGCTTGGCTCTCCTCTGCTCGCTTTTGTCCGACCGTAACTGTTAATGTGTTCGAAGTCAAATTGTTGGCAGTCACGAGACCAACAGCAGCGGCAACTGTGAACTCAAAAAACAACTTTATCCATGATTAATCAGTTGCATTTAAATGTGTATGATATCCTGGGCGGGGTCCGTCCTCCGTTGACAACTGCAGTCCTCTGACTTTCGACTGCTCCTCATTTTTGGCAAAGCTCGAGTGCTCATATCCGGCCGGCAGATGGGCGAGCTGCTTATGATTAATTCAATGCATTCAAAATTTAACTACGATATTATTTCGCGTTATGGCGCCGGGCAACAAATCGCCGTGCGTTAATTAATTTTAATAACCATCTTTATGCCAACTAACAGCTGGCCAAGTCACGCGTGTGTGTTGCTTTGACTGTGCCATCGTAAATGTTTAATGGCAAAACACTTAGCTGGCCAAAGTGGAGTGCTTTGGTAGCGCCACAAACGTTCGTCCACCCATTTGAGTGTAAAACGAATTATACACAGAAGTGGCTGCATAATTAAAAATGTTTCAACCGGACCGGGGCTTAATCATTTCAAGGGAATTAATTGTAAGCTAAAATTTCTAATGTTGTATTAGAGCTAACATAAAATCAATTATGGCTTACGTGACTTTTAAAGGCTTATCACTTCCGTTCACTTTAAGAGCATACATATTCACGGAAGTCAATTTCTGGTTCACAGATATGACTACGCATAATCGTAACATACGACAATTCTTTGGCTTCACCTCCTGTTTCACCCTTATAAAGTGAGTGGGCTTTCGCCTCCTTAAAGGGGACTTTTTCTTTGTGGCCCCGTTCCGAGAATCGCTTTCCCTTTGAATTCATTTCCTTTGTGGCGGTAGGGCAGCAGTGTATTGTAAATATTCATTACATGTGTGCAGCAAATTTTAATTTTTTCGCAAAACTGCAAAACCCAAAGAGGGTGGCTCGCACACTTACCATACCGTACACCGCGCAATATTCTATGGCTCCCAACGCATTTTCCCCTTGAGGGACGAGGGTCGGCACTGAGTGCACGACATTCATTGTGCTTAATGAACACTCGCATCCATTACGCTTGCATTATGTATGTAACGTCATAAATAATCAACAAAAAACGTGCGCAGCGAAAACCATAAAAAATTTGCCAATATTGCTTAAAATACCGGCAACAGATGCCACAAATTCGCAATGCCAATGCCATGTGGTTTTCTATTTGCGGCAAATTATATTTTTTGCTGGGGTCTAAAAGTATAATCTATTTTTTACTAGTGTGGAATGTTTGAGACTTGGAGATAATATTTTCGGCCTGTTTTGTATATACAAAAATACATATATTATGAAATGAGGGCAAGCAAAAATAACTTAGTAAAAAACGCTTTAATTTGATGAATTCAATTTAGACACTTTTTCTCTATCTATGCTTCAAAAGATTTTAAAAAATTCTTACCCACAGAATGTGTTAAGAATCACTACTGTTACCATTGCAAATATTTACGTATTTAGCAAAAGTTTAGTGCCTTGAAATGATTCCTAAACTGCAAATAAAAAAGGTAACCCACCAACCCTTTGAGCATGTTTTTTGTTTGCTTGAACAAATGCGAGTTACAGATGCCGCGTAAATATAAAAGGTTGTATTTCATATGTATATCAGCGCATTCTTCAGTTTTTTTTCGAGAGGGTAACGCACTCAGCAGAGAGATTTCAATCGAGTGGTCCACCAACAACCCTTTTCACGCTGTTAGCCAACTATCTGTGACCCTCGCTTTTGTCACCCTCCGAGGAGCGAGAAGTTTGGGTTTTCGAATGGTTCTGGCATACCTGCCGCGCTTGTAACCCCGCCATTAATACTCATTAGTAGCCGAGGTTCGGCGTGTGCCTTTATCAGCCATTTAGCCACTTTGTGTAATCCCAGGGAGCACAACAACCGCAGCAAAATGCGTGTTTATTTGGGTGTGGGTACACCGGGTTGTTTTTATTTTTTTTACTTTTTGTCTATACTCTTAATAATATTAAAAAATACACCCAAGGGAACAACGATTCGGTTTGTTTGGTTAGTTTCGTGGTGGTGGCTTGATGTATCTGACCGTTTGCCGGGGCAGACGCATAAATTTCCTTTGTCTAAAACCCCCAAGACAATTAGAGGCACGGCAGGGAAATGCCAGGGGCGGGTGCTCCGGGGTTTCGGTTGGTAAGAAGTGCAAAAATCGTTTTATATCCATTGAGAAAGACAATATAGCAAAACACATACAATGCAAGTGACATGCGATGTTTCTCGAGTGATAAATTGCTTTCACCTTGCTCGAACTGGGTTTTAAATTGCCATCTTGGTGGCTATTTGCTTGTATATTTATGTATAAGTGTGACTTGACAATAATATTGAAAAATTTAAATAATTGTCTCAGGTTTAGAAATGTCTTAAATTGACAAAGCAAACCAAATCCAAGAGCCAAACATTAAGTATAAATATACCATATAGGGGAGAACAATTTGCGGACTGTTTCCGTATCTTGTATTTTCTATTTTTCAGTTTGAGGAACGTTCTCAACTTCCGTTTCCTGACTTTATTTGCGTGTGTATGTGTGTGTGTGTGAGAGAGGCAAAATGAATTGCAAGGCATGTTTACTGTCATGTTAGCCAGACGAGTTGACAAGCACAACGGCATTTGATTAGCCGCCAGAAAAGAATGGCCTTTACGTACTAGTGAGAGCTACGCAGCAGATTGAAATATCTGTAGGCCCCACGCACAATCTGCAAAAGGGACTTCTTGAAATCGGAAAATGCATCCAGTTTAGATCCTTACGTCTATGAAGGTCCTCAGATTTAGATCGACCAGCAGGGCTCTCATTTTCATTGGCCGCTGGGCATGCATCATGGCAAAGACCAGCATCCGCTGCAAAGGCAATTCAAAGTTGTACCATCCACTCGAAAAGTAAGCAAGGGACAACTCATCGTGCTGCAAAAAAATAAAAGCTCAAAAGAGTCAAAAACCAGGCAAACAAAACGCAGTTAAAGGGACAAAAAATCAAACTACGAGAGAGAATATTGGCCGATCGAAATGGATTCCTTGAATCGATACGTTTCCATTCGACACACGAAACCACTTCCCTTCTCTTTTGGCAACGGAGAAGTCAAACAAAACAAAACAAATACTGATTCCTATTTAAACTAACATGATTGAACCAAAAAAGTCCTTTGTTTGGTTAGAGCTTACTATATATATATGACTTTTTTATAAAAATATACATACACATTCAACAATTAATGTGGCATGCCAATGGTAAATCCAAAGTATAGCAGCCATCACAAAGAGATAAATAAACATAAAAAAGTAATCCATTTTGCTGGGCACCTAGTAAAGTACAAATCACACTATTTTAAAGAAAAAATTTAAAAGATTCAAACTCACGCCAACTGTCAATGCAAAAAGAGAAAACACATGAGAACGGAGAAAATAACAAAATCTGCCATAACTGGAACGCTAATCAGATACTGTAGCTCTCTTATAAATTTTCGAATCCTTAGTTGTTCCTCTACAAATTCCTTGAAGAGTTGTAAACGCCAGAATGTTAGTTCACTGGCAGAAAGACGAGTCGTTACCAAGTTTGGAATTAGTCTTGCGATCTACAGAAAACCAATTAAAGGTTACAGTTTTTAATTATCTTAAAGTCAGAAATAGTTATAAGAATACTCACATCCATTTCCTCCACCCTCTTGTTGAGTATCTGCAGCTTTAGGTGTACGTACTTCATGAGGCACGTGATAAAGGTATGCCACAGTGGAATGATAGTGATCCCCAAGGCCAAAGCATACCAGGGACCCAAATATCCAACCACGAAATTATCGCACAGTTCTCTAAAGGGAAAAAGCTGGAACAACAGGATGGGATGCTCCTCTCCTCGTTTTACAGCTTGGGTATTAAAGACCGATTCCGGCAGAAACAGGGTTCTGTATATACAATCGCAATAGGCCATTAAACCAGCAATGACCGATGGCACCCACAATACCAGGGTTATATTTCGAGCATAAACCTGCGTGGAGACCAGAAGTTTGAATTCCTGATCATCTGCAACAAGCATTAGGTTCTGGATATCTTCGTGGGCCACTCGTAGAAGGGAAATTACTCCTAAAAAAATGTTTAATATTTATTTATAAGAATAATTAAATGTTCAGAATCTTTATAAGTTTTTCCTTTTATTTAATAAAGTCTGTTTTGAATCTTACTATCTCGTTGCACGTAGGCATTCAGCGTGGCAATGGACACTGTGAAATACTGAACAGCAGTGGCCCAACTTGTGGCCCCATCGTTAAGATTTTCGTAGCCCCGGAAAACTCTGGCAAGCATTAGAGCGCAGCTTATCCAGATCGAGGTCGTGAAAACAGTGCATCGAAGGAGGCTCAACCAAGGCCTCTTCTGATCCTTAGAAGCCACATATCCGTACCAACGAAAGCAGTACAAATGGGTTTTAAAAATGGGATTGCCGAAGGTCTCCGAAGAGAGCAGCAGATCCTTAACTCGAAACATTTTGACTGTTTGTAAGTCATTATTTTCCTCGTCTTTTATATTGCTTAGCTTAGGTGTTAAGCTGCTAAGTGGGATAATTAGTAATAAGAAAGGACCCTCGTTAAGTGACGAATAATTACCACTGTTTACTGATTTAACGACAGGTGTTGCAGTTCTGCATAGACGATTTGGTAATGTACTAAGTGCTTGCCCCCCAGCATTTGGCCTTCAAAAATTGTTGGCAAGTTTAAATTCGATTTGCATGTTACGCTCGCCGGCACCCAAAACTTTGTCCACACTCGAGAGCGTAGTAATGCCAAACGTGTTTAGGCAGCGTTGCATGCGAGTGAAATTTGCCAGTGAAATTTTCCAGTGAAATTAAACTTTTTCCCCAACTTGTTCTGGCCACTTTCCGAGAGTGTCCTTTTCCGGCAGCCAAACCAGGGTGTAATCAGGTAATGGAAAACGAATAAATAAGGCTTTTGAGAGCAGTGCTCCAGGCTTTAACAAAATTAATTTTTGATCCCTGCTCGTTGGATCGAGTTGCAGGATTTGCAAAACGGCAGCCAGGTGAACCAAATCAGGGAACCGGAGTCAATCAAGTGGTCAGATTGCGTTACCAGCTATCGACCCGAGCAGCCTCACATGGGGCCAAAGGTCCTTACGGCAAATGGCATTCAAGGAAATCAAAGGAGAGCAAAGGAGAGAGGGCCCGAGGCGGGAATCGGGAATAGGGAATCGGAAAACGAGAATCTCAACTCGAATCGAGGAGTCGTTTTGCATGCGACAATCATATGCAGGAGCTGAGTAATTCGCCAATATATACATGGGGGCATGGGCACCAACGGATATTGTATCTGTGGAGAGGAGAGCATGTGCGGCACGAGTGTGTCGTCTATTTCACAATTTGCATTTAATATCCTTGTGTGAATAATTTACAAATGCAATAAACGTAAATGCGTTGGAGGAAACGCACTCAGACATGACTGGGTGCGAACCGATCCCAGTCCAGCGCCGAATTCGGATTCGTGGCATGGAAAATGCTTCACAAGCTCCGAGCTTCGGGAAAATGTCAGTCGACGATGGGAGTGGGGGTGGAAAACTCCCCAGCACGCATATTTGTATGTTGCATGTTTGCAACTGTCTCTGTGATGTTTGTGTTTGCAAATGTGTAAATGCATTCGCAGCTCCTCGCATTTGTCTGTCTGCTGGCGTGAAATTTGCTGTAAGCAATAAGCCTGTGAGGATATTGAAAGTCACTCGTTTCTGGTATTTACTTATGCGTTTGTTTCATGCTCGATGCCTTCCAAATGGAACAGGAGGAGCGAGGATTCGGAGGAGTGTCTGTCCGTATTGGCTTGGAATGGCTTGGCTTGGCGCTTTTCACGCCACATTTGCCGGGGCAGAGTAATCGGATATTAGCTCGCCTTGCTTATTGTTATGGCATATTTATTGGCAGTCGGAATTGCACACGATGCTGCGTTCAGTTTTGTGGTTAACTTGCAGCTTTAACTGCCCCATAACTAAGGGGATTCCCATTGGGAGTTCGTTCGGTCTGACTCCATCTCCCTTGACATCTTTGTGGGTTTTGTGGCTGCCGTTTCCGAACGGCATTTCAATATTTACAACGGCTGCGGTTCATTTACAAGGCCAGAAGCTCCGCCGGAAAGCGTTTCCAAATATTTAAGCCTTTCCTTATATCTCGCAATATTGAAGTGCATTTTTTATTGATCAACTTAAAAGGTTTTTATTTTTAAAACCTCTTCAAATGTATCCCCTCATCCATCATCAATATTGTTTTTAAATTTCGCTGAAATCTTTTATAATCTCCGCCACAACTCGCGAACAATTCCAAACTATTTCAACTTTTCCGCTTGCTTTTGCCCCTGAAATATAGCCATATTTAACCTTAAATAAAGTCTTTGAAAAGTCAGTAGACTTAAAGGAGTTTTCTTGGGCGTTGGGCGCCAACCAGCCACTAAATTGTTTACACGCAATTTCATCAAAACAATAAATCATGCAGTTGAATCGGCACAACAAAGGCGGCGACAACGACGACGTCCGCTTTCCCGCTTTTCCGCTTTCCCGCTTTCCTTCCCCAGACGACGTGACGTCAAGTTGACATTTGGTGAAAATCAAATCAAAAGCATTTTTCCGCACAGCGGAAGTGGCGCAAGTAGCAAGTCAAACTTGGCAAACACACATTTATAACTCGGGGGATATAGTGGGACCCACAAACACAGAAAGCCAGGAACCCGTGTACATCGGCCCTATATGGAATATATATTTGCCCTGACTGCTTGACGGCCAGGTCATCAATCGTGCGGCTGAAAAGAAAGAAGGAGCAGCCAGCCAGCCAGCTTCAGTTGCGCCATTTTATTTAATTTATAAGTATAACATTTAATATTAATTATACGCCACGTAAGCTCATTGCGAGCTGGCGTTGAAAAGCCAGGTCCTTAAACATGTACGAATGGGTGTGCGATGTGTGTGTGTGTGGATGTGAGTGTGTGTGTGTGTTTAAGGGGAGCAGAGGCCACAGCTTTTTATTTCGCTCATTAACTATGCATGTTTGTTGGCACTGCAATGGCCACAATGGTCAACATCGGTGGGCGCCCAAAAGGGGCGTGGCAGCGACAGCAGAAATAGCCAGGACGAGAAGCAGAGGATCTGGAGTTGGCCAGGAGCAGAGAGCAGGAACAGCGGAAAATTCCCATTTTAACCCTTTTTCACTTTTTCCGTGGCAATGCGCAAGAAAAAGAAAAACAACCGTGAGATTGCAGTATATTTGAGCGATAAGTTGAAAGCGGAACACTCTTTGTAGGACCTTCCATTGTTATTTGAAATATTTGATGAGCACATACAGAAAATCTGGAAAATACATAATATATCCTTTTTTTCTTGTATAAGAACATTATGAACATTTAAAAAGCTTCTTGACTTTTTGATATTAGTTTCCGAAACTTTATTTCCCAAAATCATGTTACAATACGAAATCTGTTCAGATATATACTGACATATCAAATTCTTTTCTATACTATTTCTTAAAGGATTTATTTTATTTATTTTAAAATCAAAGTACCAAGCGTTTATTTGTTCCTTCAACCATTTATTGCATTCCTTTTAACCACACTGAATAATTTGTAAATACCATGCATTTCTATGGGGCTTAAACATCTTTGGATCTGTTCTATAGAATTATATAGAATTATTTAACGAACTCAAAGACCCACTATCCGATATAGGGCATTCCCACAAATGAGAGAGCGAATGCGAAGCGTCCAAGTAAAAGTCCATAATGTTTAAATTGTGGTTCTCTACAAAAGCGAAAAATCAGCACAGCGAGTTTTTATTTGCATTAAGAAATTATAATTATGGCAGCTGCTCCCCGCCCACTGCCCACCGCCCACAACCCCCTCAACCCCCCGCATTTCGACCGCTTTTGGGGTTACTTTTGCCCTTTGCCGTAGTTTGTTGGCTTGTGTCTGACGGGTCTGCCGGTGCCTGGTTGCCTGTTTTTCCTGGTTCTCTGGCAGTACGGCTCCCTGGCTGCGTGGGGTGCACACTTTTTTAATTGAAAAGTGCAAAATAATGTTAAAGAAAAGTAAAAAGTAGTCGTGGCACAAAGTATACGCCAAGTATCCCGACCCCGTTCCTCGCCCCCTGCCATTTGGAATCCCGAGAGGCACGCCATCGTTTGTTTGTACTTCTGTAGGTAGCGAGCACTGTGCGCAGATGAATGCAGTTTGCTGCTTCAGTTTTCATCCTTTTCAGTTTTCATTTTTATTTTACAGTGCCCGAGGGCTTGGAATGCGGGGGCTGGGTTTGCGTGTCCCGCTTCAAGGAGCGTTTTCAGGCATAAATTGTGGCCAAAAAGAGGGGGCGGGCGGCGTGGGGCGTGGGGTTGGCTTGTTTCTTCCCGGTTGCTGGATTGCTTGGGGTTCTTTTCTTTCCGAAAGGTGGAACTCGGTGACTTGGGGTTTCTCGGCTAAGGGTGGATTAATCACAAGGCTAAAGTGGTCAGCGGCGAAATCTTACAAGTTTCAAACGAAAAGCCAATCCGCCTGGTTAAAAATCGTAAAAAAATAAAGGGTTTTAATATTCAGTAAAAGTGAGATAAAGAATTAAATTGTCTTTGCAAACTAAAAACCTAATTATGTACTTTTAAGCTCTGCATAATATTATACAATTCATTATTTTAGTATTCATAAGATCTTTAAAATAAATGTATATATACATATATCAGCAGTTGATATAACTAATGAAGTACCAACATTATTTATAAGGTTAATAACCAATTGTGAACAGCTATTCATATTGAACCGTTTCACAACACATTTTTGTAGCATTTAAGAACACTGTTTATATGTATAAGATAAGTCATAAGAGAACAAGCAGAAGAACGAGAAGCTAAGCAAGCACAGAAAGACGCATAAGCAAAATGTACATATTTTATTTTATCCACCTCAATTATTATTAAATAAACGCACCACTCGGAAAAGCATAAAAACCATCCTCTTCACAGTTCAGAAGTGGGATAATAATGATGTTTTTGAGGTTGGATAAACGTGGATCAGAGAAGTGCTAAGAAAATTCTAGAAAAAGCTACTAGAATCGTCGGCGTGGGAAGTTTTCAATGGGATGTGTTCCCAAAGGTCTATGTGACAAAGGATATTGGAAATTACGGATGTGTTCCTTTTCAACGCGGCAGACGGATTCAAAGCAGAGAATCAGGAATCTTAGTGAACCTGAGTTCTAAGAAGTTTCGAGAAGCAGCATCAGGAGTCTCAGTGAACCTGGAAATCGTGCGTGCACATGCAAGTTGTGGTCGAGGCCAATTGCAAGAAATAGTTGAAAGAAGACAGTGATAATTTTGAAAATGCCAAAAATTGCAGAGCTTAAAGTAGATGAGCTAAAGTTCTTGCTACGATTAAGGAATGTATCAAGTTCAGGCACTAGAGCTGAGTTAATTCAAAGACTTATTGAAGTTGAGCAGTCGGAGGACATAGAGATGCCAGCAC